ATTCTGTTCTACAAAAATCCTGTCTTTTTCACCATCATACAATTAACTTTGCAAATGCATCAGTGTCAGTTACTGGCTGCTCAGTAGAATTTTTCTGCTTCTTCAGCTTCAGATGATTATACATTTGGTGGTTACTGAAAAATTGAAGCCATTGAAATAAGTTCTTGGTATGCAGTGTTTTTATCTGTTCATCAGTCATTATTTTCTCAGTTGTACAACAAAGCGTGTTTCTTGTTTTCAGATCAGCTAAGAAATTGTGAAATTTGATGATCATATACACAATAAGGAAAAAGAGCAAAACCAATAGTGCAATGAAAAAACAGACCCGCACAAAATAAAATAATGTCAATTCTGAGCACTATGTACGATGGATCTCAAATGCCTGGGCAAGATCACTTGGATCACAAAATAAGATTTATCACACACATGTTCAGCAATAATAGCAAATGTAGGCTTGAGTAGAAGCCAGTTGGTGTTGTGGTTAAGGCACCAGGCTAGAAACTTGGACCCTGTGAGTTCTAGTCCCTCTTTAGGCACAAAGCCAGCTGGGTTACCTTGGAGCAGTCACTCACTCTCTCAGCACAAGGAAGGAGTCAATGGAAAACCACTTCTGAAATTTTCCCAAGAAAACTGCAACGAAAGAGAGTTGTCCAGACATTCACTCAGAGTTAACACTGACTGGAAGGCACATAGACAAAGGCTTGGAGACACTTAGGTGCAATTCTCCCACTTGGTTATAATGGCTGTCTGGTCATTGTAAGCTACTGCTGTAAGAGATGTGAATATAAAATGGAATGGAATGAATTATGTAGATTACCATTAACTTTTTAGAAGAAAATACATCCAATATCAACCAAAAGCTACTTCTTTCCTCAATTGCTATTCTTTCTTCTTTAGAAAATAAATTAGTTCTTGGAAAGAAATTAAACAGCAGAAGCCAATACCCAAGAAACTGCAATCCCAAAATTTAAAAATAATGCTTCTGAATTACATTGGTGAACCATAGATTTAGATTGAAAGCTAGGACATGTCATATAAAATTACTTCATGGTTTTGATTCAGTTCTGAACATTTTTTAAAATGCAAATATGTCGTGAGTACGCAATTGCAAATCTGCATCATTTATTTAAACCATTTTAAGCATTATGCAGCTGCTGCAAGTATAAACAGAATTCCAGAAAATCCTGGGATAATTTGCAAGTAAATATAGTTAAATCTAAGAATTATAATAAAGCCACTGTATTACCTAAAAGTTGTGAAAAGTTCACTTATTCTGATAACTCAATGCCTTGAAATTTCACAACATGTTGCAACTGATATAAAAGCATAGGTTTTCCCCCTAATAATTGTGCAATTTCCTGATGGATTGAATGGAGAAGCAGATGAGTAAGCTGCTTTGGCAAACAATTAAGTGATAGCTCTGATGCAGAAAATTATTTTCCCCCTTCTTTCCTGTTACATGCAGGCATTCTAATAGCTTTTGGAACGGATAAAAAGTTGTTCAATCTCTTTAAAGGAACTAGGAGGAAACACACACAAGAGGTTACAACTGCCTCTGGTATTTATTGGGTCATTCCTCTAACAGTTCTAGCTGGTTTTTCTCTGTTGCTTAAGAACTTCAATGTCATTTTACATTTCATTAAGCAAAAAGAAAAAGAGCTGTAGCAGATCTGTCACTTTGAGGCTTATATTTTTAACCCTATCGCACCAGATATTTTATGGAAATCCTACTTTATAGTGAAGTAGAAAAATGAGAGTACTTCTTCACCATGGGTTCTAAAAACTCCCACATTATTGTGTAAAGATGTTAACTTAGTTTGAAGTCTTTTTCAGTGTAAATTTTGAAAAAGCAGATGGAGAAAAGGAATATCATGGGAAGAAATGACATTAGAATCGCCTAGAGCCTTAGACTTTGTAAGTGTACAGTTGTAACTTTGTTTTTAGGAATTAGCTATTATAATTCTGCAAATCATTTTTAAAAACTGTGCTTTTGAATAGACAGGTATGTATACAAAGCATTCCTCTGAAATTGTTAAAGCTGCCATCCTCTTTTCCAGACTTGCAGAAGTACTATTTTAAGATTTGTTCAGCTGGAGCAGGGGATAAAGCAATACTACTATTTCATTAATTGGGTTCAGCAAAACAAAGAAGGTTACTCTCTCTTAAAAAAGGAAAGAAAATTTTCATTGTTTCAGGAGCGTGCTTGTGTGTTTTTAAAGATCACGTAGACTACTGCCATTGTTGCTACAAACATAAATCATGTGGTATGCAGAAGGGAGATGTGAAGCCACACAAAATTTGATATTGACACCAATGCATAGATGTGCAAGGGGCAAAATTAACACTATTCATTTATCAGTGTTAATATATGCATGGAGGAAATAAACCATTTGAAGGTTGAACGCATATATTTCAGGACTTTTCAACCCTCTGTGTACATGCACAGAAGACAGACACTGCTACAGGGATAGCTGGTGAAACTACCTATTAAATAATTTACACTGGTCCTGGGCCTTGTGCCAAAAAACTAGAATCAGTCATATTTTCAGGAATGGAAAGTGAGTAAGTATGAATGTGAGGATCGTTAAATAAATTCATGCAGCATATGTACTACAGTTTATAAACTTTAATTAAGCCATCCAGTTTTATGTGCTGACTGATCCCTGCAGTGTCACTAAGCTTGGCCGTGGTTGCCACTGGCTTTTTAAAATATTTCTTTTTAAATTCTTATGTCATCTGGTGGCAACTTATTTATTAAATGGAGGATTCAGCTGTGGGTTTTCTTGGGTTTGTTTCTGTAGTTTTTTTTTTTTTTTCAACGAAACAAAGAGCATGTTCTAGTCTTTATTCAGGAGGGAATAAGTTGGCAGTAACTACTTACATCTATACTTCACCTTAACTGAATTAGGGTTAAGAGATAGTTGCAGACGCTTTTTACAAGTCAAGATTTGCCTTTTGCCTAAACAATCTCTTAATTATAGTCCATGTTTGCTTTCTCAGCCTTGCATATGTTTCTACTGTGGTTTTTTAGGCATTGAAACCTTGAGAATTCTCCTAGTTTGCTTCATAGTTGCTGGATCTATGTGTTATAATATTGCAACTCTCGGTAAAACAGACAAATGGGGAGAAGGTTGTCTGTTAAAATCAAATGTCCATTAAATGACAAAAGGCTTTTTCAGCCCCTCAAAACATTCATGTGTGGGGAAAATATGCTTTATTGATCATAATAATTGTAATAATCCCCCCAAACTGTAGAGATTGTTAATGTTGACCCAGAATATATTACACCTAAGTCAGGGGTTCTGCTGGAGGGGGGGGTGTTTCCTCCCAATTCAATGTATTTTAAAGAAAAAAGAGGATAATATAGAAGAGTGAACACCTGTTTTTAAGGGAAACTGTCCAAAATTATTTGTCAAACAATGGATTTTAACTCTTGCTTGGGGGAAATTCCATTGATTTCTGAAATGTGGACAAAATTCCAGAAGATTTTTTTTTTTAATTAAATCCCCATACTGTTAAACTGAAGTCCATTAAAGCAAGATTTACCTTACTTTCTTTGGGGTAGCTTGTTTAAAATTCTAGTAGAGGGAGATCGACATCTTCCCAATCTACCCTGATATTTAATTATTGATTTTATGGCTGAATTCTTGTGTTGAGATTCATCTATATTATGTAATCAGTTGAAAGGTATTTATGACGAGACCAGAGATGATACATTCTGTTTCAGCAGAAGTAGGAGATTGAGTACATTACGTCTGTGTACAAACCCAGATGTCTGACATACAACTCATATACTTATAACCCATAGGTATTCAAATCCTATCACCGTTATTATTGCTGTTAAAGGAATATAACACATCCTCAGTTTATCTCAGTTTATCTTACTTGAGATGAACTATTACTATTGTAAATGAAGACCCAGAGTAGAATTAATCCAATTATTTTGGATTCCAAAAAGAAAACCTTAGATGTCATTAATGAATATATCAAAAATATTTTATTTCCTTCTCATTTCTCTGGAAACATGAAGGATTTAAATGGTTTCCTTTTTTTGATACTCATGATACTGAACACTTAAAAATATCTGGTTTGACAAGAATCTAATCTTTAATACCTCAACATGTATATTCATTTCTCTGGTTATTTATTGAATTCAACCATCTTAGTTAATATCTGACTGTTAAGCACACTTTTTTATGAACTATTGCATGAAGATCATAATTACATAATTAAAATTATATGCATCTATGAATTTCCTGTCATGAATGATTATATTTGTGTGGATTTATTTACAACTGATTTTTCCATAAACAGTTACAACATTGTTACATTGAAGGCAGATTTTAAGTGGAACCAATTTTAGGCCTGTGGAAGGAATTTCTAAATTCCACTTGGTTCTCAAATGTCAAGCATAAAAAACAAGATTCACACCTGAAAGTTCTACTTAGTTTATTACTATAGACTACCCACAGGAATCTGCTTAGACTAATGTTTAGCACCTGGACAAAACTAATAAGCATGAATGACATTCAAAGGGGTTGAACTTCATTCTTTTGTGGCTATGTAACAATTCTAAACTGATGCCTTGTTGAACCTCTCCCCCTGGCACTGCCAGTGTGTCCTACAAAAATAGGTTTCTTTTCATCCATAGATCTCTAGGACTGCTGGGTCCTAGATATATCAATGGTTTTTTTTGTGTGTGTATATCTTTACCTTTGCATAATTGTGTACACTACATGTCTGTGACAATGTACATAATCAAAGTTAGCCAGAACAAATTATATTCTGTTCCTTTCTCACTCCTTAAATGTGAATACAATTTCATTTATATTTTGGACTGATTAAACATTAAATATTTTACTTACTATTCACTCTTAACTTATAGTACTTACAGTACAATTTCCAATATTCTGCTTAATTTCAAATATTCTTCCCTCAGCCTCTGTAAAGAAGCAATATCTAATACTATATTCTATAATACTTTCCCATTTATCTTTCAGGTCAAGAACGCTTTGGAAATATGACCAGAGTATACTATAAAGAAGCTGTGGGAGCTTTTGTAGTCTTCGATGTTACCAGAGGATCAACATTTGAGGCAGTTTCCAAGTGGAAACATGACTTGGACAGTAAAGTAGTGCTCCCCAATGGCAGCCCAATCCCAACCATCCTACTTGCCAATAAATGTGACCAGAAGAAAGACAGTAGCCAAAATCCTTCTCCTTCTCAGATGAATCAGTTCTGCAAAGAGGGAGGTTTCGCTGGATGGTTTGAAACTTCTGCTAAGGTAAGGCTGTTCCTAAAAGAAGGCCCCCTTTCTGTATTCAGAACGGATCTGCTGCGCTAACCTAGCCTTGTAGTTTGGTCCTGCTAATTTGGAATTCCACAACTTGCTGCTTTCTGGATTTCTATATTATTGGTTACATTGATCTCAAAGAATCAAGAGGAACTTTAATGAAGAAATTAAAATGGCTTGGGCAAACAGATCAGTAGGCAGAGATACATAACTGGATATTGCCAGCAACATTTTCCTCTTTATTTTCCAATAAAAGGAGAACTAAAAAAAGAGCTGAAATCTTACACAGCTGTTTTTTCTAATGGTGTCAGCCCGTTCTTTTGAAAATCTACATTTTCTGATATAAAAGCCCCAATGTTTGCAAAGTTATGTTGACCTGTATATATATTGTAATTCTACTTTTTCAGTCTTGATCCAATATGTAAATCTAAAAGTGATAATGAGCTTGTAGAATTCTGTTTTCTATCTTTTATAACTGGATAGCTAAACATGAAATAGGAATAAATTTTCCGTAAGGTCTATAACAACAATGAAAATAATTAAGAGCTTGATAATCATATGATCTCTTTTTCTTTTCTTCAAATTTGTCAGAGTAGTTGGATCAAAGTGGTTTTAAAATGTTGCCAACATCAACTGATTTGTTATTGCCTATATTTATTTAATGATTCTTGGCATGCATACAAAGAAATATTTTGCCAGCTGCTGAACATAGCAGGATAATCCCTTCAAGTCATATTTTAACTTTACATTCATTCATTTCGTTCTTTTATGGTGCATGTAAATGATGATGTCCTTAATTTTGGTGTTTTTTATGCTCATGAGAAGAAAGTAGAAAGAAAACTCAAACTCAGGCTGGCCTTTTAGTAAAAGAACACAACAGCCTGGGACAGTGATTGCTAGCAGAAAGCTTGGGTACATATGGTCTAATAAAAGTAGCAGCCACCATTCCTTGCTCTGAACAAGCATTTGAATACCTAGTTGTGAATCTGTTACCTATGATGAACAAGTAAAAAGTATGAATTCAGAAATAGAAAATTTGTCATTTGATTAAAAACTAGATATTCTTTCTTGGATCCATTTTTGGCCTCTGTGGCCTCCTATAGCACTCTCCCAGTTGAAAATGGCCCATATGGAGCCACATGCGGGGGCCCTGTGGGCCGTTTTGGCCAGCAGAGACACTAGGGGCTGGTCCTTTGACATTTCCATACCAGCTCTGTGGGACAGATCTAAGCATCCCAACTTGAGTTTGACACCCCTGAAATAGACCAACTTATGGATCCCAATGTCATGTTTGAATATATACAATATTTAGTGCCTGTTTGGCAGAGCTCATGCAGTGAAGGAAATCTGATAAAGATACTATGCCAATATATAGCGTATGTTGAAAATATAAATCCCTTTTTTCTCCACTGTAATTTGTTGCATTCCTACAAAGGTCAGCTACAGTGTAAAATAAGACAAGGTCTAAGGACAGTGACATGTTTTATTAATAAATTACTTCCAACATTTTCTCTAAAAGCAGAAATCTAGGTAACATATTTGTATTGAAGCATTTTGAGTCCTCTTGATCCTTGTATGCAGGAAAGCATTAACTTGTCTCCTGGTCTCCTTAGGATAACATCAACATTGATGAAGCTGCTCGGTTCTTGGTGGAAAACATCCTTGCCAACCTGAAAGCCTTCCCGAATGAAGATAATGACGTTGATAAATTAAAACTGGGCCTGGATCCCCTAAAAGCAGAAAGTAAATCCCAGTGCTGCTAGACATATGTTCTTCCATCAATACATCATGAGAGCAGGATATTTGTCTTCCTCATTTTGGAAAGCTGCTGTGGTGCTTAATCACAACTATATTGTGGGGTATTAAATTCTTCACATTCCATGGTGTTTACATTTTTTAAAAATCAAATAAGACTTAGTTACACATATGCTGTGTTCTTATTGGTAAGCTATTTAGTATAGTCACAAGCTGGCATCCCTCTAAAAATAGGTAGGATCTAGATGAAAGACTTGGCTTCAATTCCTGGTTAACATGGTGTAATTGCAGAACTAGAGTAGGAAAGACAGTTCAGTTGGAATTACTCATTTTATTAAGGACTATACATTTTCTTATTTTTTTAATATAGGTCAAATTTCTTTACCTCCTGGCTCCAATATTGCTTGTCTTCTGTTTAACACTAGGACTCTGAAACAAAAAGACTTCCAAGCCATAAAGTGCTTGGGAGCCATAAATAATTCTGAGACAGGACTGAGCAGAGATTCCTCATTTATAATATGCCTTAAAGTATGTAAGAATCTCATGCTTGGAATATAAGGATAGTTGGCTAGTGTGAAAGAACTGTTTGTGCAATCTGTCAAATAAATGAGTAACAATTCATTTCTGACTGTTTGGAAAGAGGTATTCTAAAATTATGTACAAGGAAAATTTAAAAATAAGTGATCCCTTACTGTACAAGGACAGTTCTTTACAAAAAGATTTCATGATGTCTGGGCTGAAAATGAAAAATGTTTAAGCTTTATTTTTATGAAACCATTTGTTAAACAGAAAATTATCTTTTAAATTAGAGATGATTTAACTTACAAATAGTCTTTTTAAAAGCAGGCTTTTTTTGTAGATGTAATATTTTGCCAATTAACAATTTAACACGGGGAATTAAGAATTGATAAGGGGGCATACTTTCATGCACAAGAATAATTTGCAAATGTACAATACAATTTACACTTGAGTCCTAAGAAATGTTCATTGTTATTCGTGATGATGTCTGAATGTTTGGAAAAAAGACTACAAAGAATTACTTTCACCAATTGCATTTAGTATTTAAATCTGTGGGTTTTACTCTGTTTTCTGTATATTACACCGATCAAATGTAACCTGTTACCTGCTGCAAACTGTAAAGTACTTTGGACTACAGTAACACTCTAATAACTTAGACTGGGTCATATATGTATTTTTGTGTATCTGAGGCTGTATTTAATATTAATGCAAGCTATATAATAAAAATACTTAGATTTTTATAAGATAGTGTCAGGTACATTGTTACTTATACAAACAGAAGAATGCAAAGAACATGTCTTAGGTTGAAAATCGTATATTCTAGGCCTGTGCTAGCTTTGTGGAAATTTATATGAAGTCAGCTATGTTTTAAATCGTGGTTTGTCAAAATGTTCTTTGTTCCTATAGTTTTCTACTTAAATGCTGAATATTCTTGAGTATATTAAGTTCAAATTCTAACATGAGCAAATCGGTTTAAACAAAAAGTCAGTGTGCTCTGTAATGAAAAATAGAGACCATAAAATTACAAAACATTCTAAAAGCCTTTAGTACAACTGATTTGGAAAATGCATGTTCATTCATCTCAATCCTCGTTCTTGAAATCCAAATACAGTAACTTTATACAGAATGATCTTCAGCAGGTTTTCAAGATGTTATTTTAAGTATAACCCTTGGGACAGAAAACACTTGCACTTGTATAGATTCAAATAATGCTGAATATGAGATTTATAGTGTTTGCTAATGCTTAAGATAATAAAGTTTTGTGTCCTTCCCTTTAGATCCTCTTCAGTGAGAAAGTATTATACCTTCTTTTCCTAATATGGAAATTAATTGCTTTGCTAGAATAATATCACATCATTTTAAAAACCAGATTGTTTATTTTTCAATTACAATTTCATATTTACCTTCTTCAAACACTAGCAACACTTTTGCCTTATGTATCTTAATTATTGACAAAGCATATTCTGAGAACTCTGGAATTATTGACTTGAAGTGCTGAACAATTTAGTTTTGCATAACAAAGTTTAATAGGTCTGTGACTGAAGAAATAAATATGTTAAGAATTTTAGAAGGGGAGAGAATGCTTGTTCCCAACATTCAGATGACTGGGATCATATCCCCATTTTACATCATCTAGTCCTGGACATTTTAATACTTTTCTACAAAAGAAATGCAGTTGGCAGCATATTACATTAGCAAAGAATGAACACGTCATTTATGTTCATATTATGAAATTTAATATATTTATTTGAAATGCACTAAATGGGGAACAATGTAACTATTCTTTCAGTAATAGGATTACTAAGTCATATTCAGTCTTTTGAGTGTTTAATTATTCAAAATACCTTTCTATGAGAACTTTTGAGACATATGAAAAGCATTTGGAAACTCCAGTTGGTGCAAAATGAAGCAGCCTGCATGGTTTTGTGCAGATCTCAGTGTGCACGTCACCTGTCCCGCGGGAGCTACATTGGTTGCCAATTTGCTTCTGGTGCAATTCAAGGTGCTGGTTGTTAACTTTAAAGCCCTTCATGGCTTGGGACCAGGTTGTCTGAGGGACCATCTCTTGCCGGTCACATCTACCCAACCCACTGGAGCGGGGATGCAAGGAATGTTGCGGGTCCTGTCCCCTAAGGAGGCTCATCTGGCGGGGCTCAGAAGCTGGGCCTTCTCCATTGTGGCTCCCTCCCTCTGGAAAATCATCCCTCCAGAAAATAGACTGGTCTCTCCACTCTGACACACCTTTGGAAGCCCTGAAGATGTTCTGCCAGCAAGCCTGGGGAACCCAGAGTGGGTTGGAGTCCATTAAAAGGCTGATATGAGAATGTGTTGTTGTGGGGGTGGGGGTATTTTATTATTTTTATGTCTTTTATATTGTGTTTTTATTTTCTGTAAGCCACCTTGAGTCACCATGACCGAGTAGGCGGCAATATAAATTGCCCCAAATAAATATGTTCTCATGAGAAAACCATACTGTTTTCAGACAAGCATGATAAAGATTGCCCTAATGGCCTATGCTGATAGACAAATCTCTTAATGTGAAAAATAGTTACACAGTTTAGTATAAACTTAAAAGCCAGAGATCTTAAGAGCTCTACAATCTGTCCAACTTCTTATAACTAACAGAATAAGATAAGTAGTACAGCTTTCTATTGTGTTTGTCTGTGCCAACAAAATGACAAATACTTGTGACACCTTAGAGAACAGTAAAATAATTTATTTTTATAGCTTTTATTTTTTTAAAAAGCTGCTACAGCTTTTACAAAATATTATAAAAATTACTTTAAAGCTTTTGTGCATCTGATGGTATGTATAATTTAGTCCACAGAAATTTGAGCCATAAGAAATGTGTTAATCTAATCTGCCAAAAGACTCATTATTTATACTAGTTCAAATTATCAAAACTACATTCCTTTTTAGGGCCATTGTAAATTCTCATTTAGTGTATTTCAAGCTGTAAATCATATTTCCTGTCAGAGGTGGGGAACTAAAAAGGGAATTAAAAACACAGATCCTAAAAGTTGAAGATATACCTATTACTAGAGGCAAATAATTTGTGAAAAACTAAAATGATTCTTCTGCAAATTTGACTATTTTGTGGTGGTATGTGACTTTAAACCTGTCTTCCATCTGTTCCCTTATGGATATATTTTGTCAGATCATGAGAGCAAAGAGTAGAATACACATGATAGGCATCTGGTTTGGAGAAACTGAATGAAACATTTTTGTATTCAAGATCTTAGCTATAGAATCATAGTATGCTGACATTTAAAAAAGATGCCCCTGTGTTCTTTATTATCCCAGTATTTATAAGATAAAGGCATATATCAAATTGTTAAAAGGGGTACTAATATTTCATTTACATAGAAGAAAATAATCCAGCAATAGAAAGTCTAGTTCAAATCTAAAGCTTATGACACTTATTTGAGAGCAATTATTAAACTTGGAGGAATTAATTCCTAAGCAACATTCTTAAAATAACTGCAAAAGCTACAGTTAAGATGTAAGCAATGCATAGCAATAGATTAATAGAAAACTTGAGTGGGGAGACTAAGCTCAAGTTCATCCTCAACTATCAGAATTCACTGCATATCTACATTTCAGTCATTTTCTATTAACATAATCTAATGGATTGTTGTGAGGATGAAATAAATGGAGATTCCCTTGCAAGACATCTTGAATTTTTGGGTAAAAGGCAGGATAGAAACTTAACAAATCACATAACCACAATTTTCAGATTTATCACTTGGTGCTTAATGTGGCTGATTTTTAGAATTTCTACTCTGTGACAAGATGCAAAAAAACCAATGTTATACATGTGAACATATGCCAGGGCTTTGCACATCATCTGGATTAATTCTCCCTGTAAAATAGCTGTGTTTTTCACTGTAAAGAATTTTTTTTCTGATTATTGGTCCTCGCATAGAGAGAACAACTTTGTTCATCTGACTCCATTTACAGTTTAACACACATCTCCACTAGTCTGCTTAGAAATAAGGCCCATGGAATTCAGTCTGTTACAAATCTTTGTATAGATCAGTGGTGGCTAATCTTTTTGGGCTCCTGTGCCAAAAATTGTGCACGTGCTTGCACGCTTGCACTCGTGTGCCAGCACCCAGAAGACAATGTGCGCCACCTCACGCCCCCTATGCATGCATGTGCAATCCCCAACCCCACGCCACCGCCTTTCCTGCACTGCGCGTAACAGCTGATTTTCAGCCAGTTTGAGGCCTTTTTTGGCTTCCCAAAGGCTTGAGAAAGTCTTCTGCAGGCTTCAGCAAGCTTTGTAGGCCAAAAACTAGCCCCATTTCATCACTTCCTGTTTTTCCGGAAATACTGGTAGTGACGAAACGGGGCTAGTTTTCAGCCTATAAAGCTTGCTGAAGCCTGCAGAAGCCTTCCTCAAGCCTTTGGGAGGCTAAAAAAGGTCTCAAACCAGCCGAAAATCAGCTGTGAGGCACGTAAATATGCAGTGAGGTAAGTTTGCTTGCAGCTCGCATGCCTGCACAAATGGCTCTGTGTGCCACCTGTAGCACACGTGCCATAGGTTCGCCATCACAGGTATAGATTGTACCAAACTTTCACCTGGAGATGACCAAAAATTTATATGACTTAGAAGTGGCTTGCTATAAAAGATTTTTTCTCTCTAAATTACATAGATAGGTGAATAGAAAAAATATATACAATGGGAATAATTGAATTTTCCCTACCCTAGCTAGATTTTCTACAATATACTTCCAACTGCATGCTAAATCTTTCCTAGGCATTATATCACTCACTAGGGCTCAGTTTCTGAATAATTTCTTATGGTCAGAAGCAAAATAATGTATTTCACATACTAAGAATATAATTATTTCACATAATTATCTCCAGGGAAAGATAGAAGGCAAACAAGGTCCAAGCAGAAGGAAAACATCATGGCTTCAAAGGGTTTGGACAAAACTCAGCAGCACTTTTTCGTGTGACTGTTGATAAAAATAGGATCACCAACATGATCGCCAACATCCAATGACAGATACGGCACAAGAAGAAGTGGACATAAATTTAATGATGTGATCCATTCATGTCTGACTCAAATCTTTCCACGTCTCTTAAATTTAATAGGATGCTGCAATATTCTTATATGTTTGTTTTAATAGAGACACATATTTTCTGAATAAATTAACTTCATTAGTAAACAGGATTATTTCAAGGAACACTCTCCATAGGTTACACATTCTTTGCAGTGTTGGGATTCAATTTTTTTTACTACCAGTTCTGTGGGCGTGGCAGGGTAAGGATACTGAAAAACCTCCAGTCAGATGTGGTATTTGCCGGTTCTCCAAACTACTCAAAATTTCCGCTACCGGTTCTCCTGAAATGGTCAGAGCCTGTTGAATACCACCTCTGATTCTTTGCTGCTTTTTGCATTTGCTTCAAATTACAGGGATAGGACCCTATGGAAAAGTAGAAAAGATTTCCAGATCAGCTCCTACAGGAATACACAACGTCTGTCAATTAAAGGATCATACCAAGCTTTGTGAAGTATATAAGGAACTGCACTGAAAAAGTGGGTGGAATAATCATTTGGGGAGTGAAATAATAGTTATCTTAAGCCCTTGTATTTGTCCCTAAAAATTTTTTTTTTAAAATAAATAAAGGGGGTTA